CAGGTGATCACACGCCCCTTACGAACCCGAAAATCTGTCCGGAACTGGCGTCGGTATCGCGGATCACTGTCGACAACCCGATCCGAAGGTCGTAAAATCACGATATCTAGTTCAGACGGCAGATTAGGTAGCACGTCAACCGTCTTGACCGTGTTCTGCATAAAACTTACACAGTGTCCCGAGTAGTGGTACTGGTGGCCACGGTAGCGGTGGACCATCATCTGCACATGGGACCGGGCGATGATCATCTCTTCTACTTGTGTAAGCTCTGGCAGGTGGGCCGGGAGCTCTCCTGGGTCCATTTCGTTCTCCGCGGACATGAGGAAGGGTGTTTTGCTGCCCTTATCTCGCAAGAAGCAGGCGTGGCAGACTTCACCCTTTAGATCCATCGCGAACCACCGTTCCCGGCAGCGGCTACAGGTCTCCATCTTGATCTGACCCATGGCAGCGTTGAAACTCTGTATATAGCCCCATTGCTCGCTGGGAATGAAGCCCGCGGCGTGAGGGTGGGCATGATGCTGGATTGGTGGTACGGCTTGAGGGACTCGAGGCTGCACTGGCAGAACCGGTTGAGGGCCTCGAGACTGGACTGGTGGAATCGGTTGAATGACCCGAGGCTGGATTGGTAGTACGGGTTGAAGAACCCGAGGCTGGATTGGTAGTACGGGTTGAAGAACCCGAGGCTGGATTGGTAGTACGGGTTGAAGAACCCGAGGCTGGATTGGTAGTACGGGTTAGGCTGGAGTGGTTGTACGGGTTGAGGGACTCGAGGCTGGATTGGTAGTACGGGTTGAGGGACCCGAGGCTGGATTGGTTGTACGGGTTGAGGGACTCGAGGCTGCACTTGGGGGAGACAAGGTCTGGTCCGCGATTCGGGTAGAGGAGGGAGGAGAGGGCCTGGATCACCATCGAGGGGAGGAGGGAGAGCGGATGCTAGTCGGTGAGGGGTAAGGAGGGGTTGTATTGGACGCGATGTAGGGGGGACTGTTAGCTTAGGACGTCCACGTCTCTTGGGCGCCACATCAGGACATAATGGCTGTAAGGCCTTCCTTTTCTTCGAATTCCTGGCGCGGCAAGGAATGCAGGTGCTGAAGACCTTACTACCCAAGTCAGAAGTGGTATCTTTCAAGAAGGATGAAAGGGGGTGTTTCCGTAGGCACGCAGAACAGTATTTGGAGTCCATTTAGGCTCACCGAGACTGCGGGAGGGTGACGCGCAGAGAGTATCGCGAGGTCAGGTGCGTGCGCGTTTTATATGGACCAATAGAAAGATTTTCCCTTACGGAGCCTCTGCCAATCAGAAGCCTGAATATGGACCAATAGAAATGCTTTCCC